GCAACAGCAGCTGCAGCAGCAGCAGCAGCAGTTTGTCTTGGATTTGTATGCTGCAGCTGCTGTGTGTTTTTGCTGCAGAGGAGTTGGCTTGCCGCATTGTCTTCCGCTCGGGTCTGCTGCTGGCCCGGTGGTGCCTCGAACTGTGTAAAACAAAGGTGATCTGCTGCTGCTGCTGCTGCTGTTGCTGCTGCTGCTGCTGCTCCTGTTGTTGCTGCTGCTTTTGCTATTGCTGCTGCTGTTGTTACTGCCGCTGCTGTTGCTGCTGCTGTTTTTGTTGTTCTTGCTGCTCCTGCATTTGCTCTTGCTGTTGCAGTTACTGCTGCTGCCCGTGCTGCTGCTGTTGCTGCCCGTGCTGCTGCTGTTGCTGCTGTTGCTGCTGCTGCTGTTGTTGGTGCTGTTGCAGTTGCTGCTGCTGTTGGTGCTGCTAGATATTCATGGTAGAACGTTGCTGCTGCAGGTGCATGCGCATGTGGTTGCTGCAGGATACAGCAGAGCCAAAGGCTGCTGCTGCTGTCTTCCCGCCTCCCCTGCTGCTGCCGCCGCTGCCGCCGCAGCCGGGTGATCGTGAGCTGCTGCTGCTTCTGTACACTCATCAGCAGACGGAGAGGCAGCAGCAACAGCAGCAGCAGCAGCAGCAGCAGCAGCAGCAAACTGCAACACGACAGGAGCTGCTGCAGCCGCCAGACCTCTGGGGGCCCCCAGGGGCCCCCCCAGGGGCCCCCTGGATGCCTCAGGGGCTGAATATGGATCCCGATAGAGAGGCGCTGCTGCAGCAGGCTGCACGCGCAAGCTGCTGCTGCTGCTGCTGCCAGTACTGTGCTGCTGCTGCAGATGCACTGCCTGGAGGATTTGCTCCCCTCGCCGGTTCTTCTGCTGCCATCAGCAGCAGCAGCAGCAGCAGAAACTGCAGCAGCAGCAGCAGCAGCAGCAGCAGCAGCAGCTCTCTTAAAGACACACAGCAGACTGAGGTCCTTGTCTGCAACTTTGTCCTCAAGCGGGCAGAAGCGCTGCTGTCGTTGGTCGCGCAGCAACTTGCTGCTGCTGCTGCTGCTGCTGCTGCTGAGGTGAATGATGCAGACGAAGGCGCATGCAGCAGCAACAGCAGCAGCAACAACAGCAGCAGCAGCAGCAGACAATTGACAACAGGACGGCCAGCGACCGTGCAGGATTTGGAGGGGCCAGGAGACAAAGCTGATGCTGCGCTCAACACTGCAGCAGCAGCAGCAGCAGCAGCAGCAGAAGCAGCAGCAGCAACAGCAGAAGCAGCAACAGCAGAAGCAGCAACAGCAGAAGAAACAGAAGCAGAAGCAGCAGCGGCAGCAGGGGGTGCTGCAGCAGGGGCAGCACGAAGTGAGCTGCTTGGACTGGAGAAGACGGAACTGGCAGCAGCAGACACAGCAGAAGCAGCAGCAGCAGCAGCAGCAGCAGCGGAAACAGCAGCAGCAGCAGAAGCAGCAGGAGCTGCAGCAGGAGCTGCAGCAGACGCGACAGCAGCACAAAAGACAGCAGCAGAAGCAGCAGCACCAGAATCGGTGGCAGCAGCTGTATCGTCAGCAGCAGATGAAGAAGCAGCAGCAGCATCAGCAGCAGAGAAGACACACGCTCCATCCGCAGCAGCAGAAGATACAGCAGCAGCAGCAGCTGCTGCTGCTGCAGCAGCAGCAGCAGCAGCAGCAGGTTTGTGTCCCGGTATTTATATAAGACTAGAGGCGTCGCGGTTGCTGCTGGAATTTATCGAAGACACTGAGGTGTATAGGCAGCTCAGCGCCAAAGTAGCGGAGCTTAAGTGGTGGCGGCAGCAGCTGCTGCTGGCCTTTAGAGAGCAGCAGCAGCAGCAGCAGCAGCAGCAACAGCAGCAGCAGCAGCAACTGCTGCTGCAGCAGCAACAGCAACAGCTGCAGCAGCAGCAACAGCAACAGCTGCAGCAGCAGCAACAACAGCTGCAGCTGCAGCAGAAACAGTTG